AGTGCGCAGGCGCTGGGTAACTTTCCATCCCTTGGTCTCTGCCTCTTCTGTGGCGTCATATGGTCCGATGAGCTACAGCGAGTCAAGGGGTAACACGTCCGAGGCGGCGGTTGCCAGCCTATATAAGGGATGGGTTCTTGGGAGTTCGGGGTCTCCTCTCTGTAAGCTTATGCTCTCCCTCTCAAGACGCATTAAAGTTTTACTGCAGAAGGATCTTGAGGAGTGGTCCCGAGTCGTTTTTGCTGGCGAGACGGTTAGCGCGAGACAAAACACTTTCTCAAAGAGTCTCCTAAAGCAGTTACCAGCACACTGTCAATGGGAATACTGCTACCCTACAATGGGTTGACTGGAACCTCAACAGGAATGACCCAAGTAATCCATAAGGAGACCTTGCACCTAAGAGACTATAGAGAGGGCAAATAACACAAAACACTGTACAACAGCATTAACCTTTAGGGAAATGCAAACTAAAGTTATATGAGATGTTAGTGAACATGTGCCATAATAAAGCAAAATGAGTGACAATATCAAATACTGAAGAGAGTGTGGAGAAACTGGAGTGCTCCTGCAGTGCTGGAAGGACTAAAGTGATCTTTTATAGTCTTCCCTCTCTTCCTCCCTCCTTCCCTTTCTCACTCTCTTCCTCCTGCCTTCCCTTCCTCCCTGGTGCGGGACACTGAGCTCAGGGCCTTGCACCATAAAAGCACACAGAAAGTAACAACTGTAAGCCTGGCAACTCAGCAGCCAATCCTGACCAGCATTCAGTAGGCACTAAATAAATGTCTTACTCTCTTCTGCTTCTTCTTATCTGCCTCCTCTTGCAAGTCTTGAAGGGCCCTTCCCACGAGTTTCTTGTTCAAGTCCTGATCCTCTCTGTGCTCCTGTTGCATAGTCTCTATCTTTGCTTGCAAGGCTTTCTGCAAATTGTTCCTAGTTTCCTGCTTTGTCTTCTGCTTCCAGAGCTTCTCTTTTTCGTCCTCTAGTTTAATCTGTGCTCTGTTCTGCTCCTAAGGAGGAATAATGAAGATGATCGTTAGGGAAAACAACTAAGTTAATGAATTTGCTCTATGCTGGTGAGCCTAAGGAGTTTCTTGGAAACGTGCACATGGCTGTATTTAGAGGGGCTGTAGAAATGGAGCTTGCTTTTTAACATAGCTGAGTCAGCAATAAAGCTTTGTAGAAACTGCTGTATGTGTGATTGTAAAGTAAGTGATAAGTGTCCAAAAATGACCAAGAAAGTAGGTATGAATGATCTTTGACCCCAGTACACATCACTGACCACTACAGTCAACATGCCAGCCCACATTCTTCCAGGCTTATGCCTCTATGCACACCTGTACATCTAGATGAGTACATTATTAAGAAGCAATGAAACTTCCAAGTGGAAATGTGATTAATGGACCAGCCCTAAACTCCAAGCCGAAAAACTGTATTAACCAACCGAAAACTGCTACACCCATGGAGCCCATCGCTACATGGGGGCACCTGAAAGGGTGCTCACCAGGAGGCGGCCCTCCTCTTCCTTCTTCTGCTGTGCAGCCTGCCTTTGTGCCTGGAGGCTGGTTACTTGAGCATCCAGCCCTAGGCGTGTATTTTCCACTAGCTGTTTCTGTCTCCTCTCTTCTTGAGCTTCTCGCTTTTCCTTGGCTAGTCTATCTTCCTCCCAAAGCCTGGCATACATCTGCTCTTCCACCAGCTTCTGCCTCTGCAGCTCCTTGTTGAATGCTATCTGCTCTTTCCGCTCCTTGACCACCTTTTTCTCGTGGATGTTAACCAGTTTACTGCGAAGCTCCTCACAGCGCTCCCTGGAAGGGAAATTGAAAAGATGCCAGCATTTCGTGAAGCAGTGCTGTTTTTAGGCATATATCTACACAGTAAGGCACAGGAGAACGGAAAACCAAAACAACCCAGATCCACACCATCTGGACAGAGGAAATGTAGGAAGCCACAGGGAGGGAGGTCCAGGAGGACACTGCTAAGATACAGGCACTGTCATCAGGAAGAATCGGCTTGAATCCTTGCTCTGCCATTTTCTCTGTGATTCTGGATCAAAAATTTACCTTATCTAGCCAGGTGTAGTGTGCATGTCTCTAGTTCCAGCACTCGGGAGGCAGAGGCAGGCAGATCTCTGTGAGTTCAAGGCCAACCTGATCTACAGAGCAAGTTCCAGGACAGGCTCTAAAGAAATACAGACAAATCCTGTCTCAAAAAACCAAAAACTTTAAAAAAAGAAATAATAATGTAAGTATCTGATAGGCAGGATATCTCATATGCGACCCCTGTAAAAGTGTTGTTTGACTCCCAGAAAGGTCGAGACCCAAGGGTTGAGAACAATTACTCTAGCAGGAGGATTAGGGCAGTGTGTATTGTTAATGAGGAGTCTATAGAACTGTTGTCAGTGATAGAGATTCCATGGTTCTCTGGACCACACCTCCATCTGATTTTGCTGCTTTCTCATCCTGCTTTGCAAGTGCAGTGAAAATGAATGCTTGTATTCCCTTTGTATTCTGCCAGATAAATGAGAACTTACTGAGAGACCATCTAGTCCTGAACGCAGCTTAACAAGAGGCATTCCTTTGCTTACTCATGCTCGGTGACTTAAGAACCTAACTGACATTCATTTTCCTCATGTCAACCAACATAGTATTCTATCAAAGAGTCTGACATAAGTCCTGAAAATATTTACTGAAGCCAGGTCGGGTGGTAGTCCTACCACTTGGGAGGCTGAGGTAGAAAAATCTTGAATTCAAGGCCAGCCTGGGCTACACCTTGAGTTTTAAGCTAGCCTAGATTACTAAATTAGACCTTATTTCAAAAATGAATGCATTTGGGCTGGAGGGATGGCTCAGCAGTTAAAGCACTGGTTGCTCTTGCAGAGGACCCTAGGTTGATTCCAGCACCTACATGGCAGCTCACAGCTGTATGTAACTCCAGTTCTAAGGTCTTCTTGGGCATGAGGCACACATGGTATATTTATTTATAGTCATGCAGGAAAAATGCTCATAAATACAAAATAATACTATATTTATTAAATGAATTTTAAAAGGCTAATGGCTATGTTTTAAACACTTACAGGAAAAAAATAAAATTTCAGATATTTACTGAGGATTAAAATCTTAAAATTAAAAGACATATGAAACTGATAATCATTTGTGTGATAATTGCTACTTAGAAGAACTTGAAATGAAAAAAAAAGCAAAATAAAGAAACTAACCTGAGAAATATGATAGCAATTTCCTAAAGATTTGCTTTTAATATGTTTTTTAAGTTATGTGTATATATAAGTTTATTTCTATATGTGGATATGTGAGTACAGATGCCAACAGAGTCCAGAAGAGGCCATCAGATCCCCTAAAGCTGAACTTACAGTAAGATGGTTGTGAGCGGCCAGATCTGTGTGCTCAAACAGAACATGGAGCTTCTGCAAAAGCAGTACACAGCTCTTTTTTTAATATTTTTTAATTTAATTTTTACAAAATTATCTCACATAAAAAAACCCCCACGAGCCCCCTGCCCCTG